TTGATTACATACTTCTAAAGAACAGTTCTGTTGTATATTTATTTTTGTGTCAGAAAATTCACGTTAATAGGTAGAAAAATGATAATAAATGTGAAAAAAAATATTGTTATATTACAATTAATTTAGAAAAAAGTACCCCCCCTCCCCCTAGACAAAAAAAAAAAAAAAACCAATGATTGTCGTCTTGTCGAAAGCAAGGAGATCTTCAAGATTTATGAGTGAAATAACTGCCTACTTGGATCTTTTGACATACATCCTTCTTTTTGTCAAGCTTGAGAAATTTATTTCGCGAAAGCGAGACTTGGCGATCCTAGATTCCGTCGTCAGCGTTAACGCCGGCTGCGTCAGCATTTAGGTTCAGTCTGTGGTTAAAGCTTTGTTTTACATCAAAATCTTTGTCAAACATAATGGAATTTCGAGAAATTGGGACAGAAGCTTCTTTATGACCAAAATACAGAATCCAGGACAAAATTTTGCAAATATTTATTTTCATTTTTCCGTATTTTATTTCTAAATGGACTTCGTTTTTCCTTAACAGTTAAATTCAGGTTTTGTCTAAGGTTAAAGTTGTTCATACAGTCATCAATAACCGTTTTGTTTAATCGCCCAGTTGCAAGTTAAATGCATATCCATGCAGGTCAAGATCATGATAATGATATATGAATGTTGAAACTGTTTTGTTCTACATTGCGCTGGACTTTTCACTTGTTTGTACAAAATGCAACAGTCCGAGTAAAGACATTGTATAGCTTATTAGTGGGTGTGGCTTATTTGCTAAGAGTTTAATTCCATACGACGAACTGTACATAGCTGTTTGTTTTTAAGGGAACTTTTTTTATTATGGGTTGAACAAGGAACGTATATATTATTCCAAGGTTAAACGATCAGACTATTTATACAATATTGAAAACATAACATTTATGAAGCCATGGTTATAGTTTATTGAATACTTCGCATAATATCATTCATGATATCGACTAGCTTCAAGTTGTGTTGTGACAAGAAACAACTTTTCAAAAAGCTCCGTTTTACATGACAATCATATGGTTTAAATTGTTTATCTATATCCGACCGACACAAGCCAAAGAGAATAAATTATGCAGTGTCACTGTTGAATGATATACTGTTTTAGCAATTAATGCCATTACGTCAGCATGTATCAGGAAATTATTCTCAATCTCCAAAGATGATGTTTTTGCACATAAACTTTCTCGAAGTTCTTGGAAGCTTCCAGGGACTTATAGGCCCTCGTTCCTTCTTTATCAAACATTTCGTTTTGATTATTTGCAAGGTAAATTTCAAGTTTCCTTCAAATTTCTTTCCCAATTTTCTCCCTTAATTTTCAAACACTAGGTCTCGAAATTCTACACAATATTTTTTTTACTTTATTAAACATAAACATAAACAAAAAAACAGATGACACTCAACGACTTCACAGGTAAACGGGAAAGCGGCGGACATCCTTAACATCGAATATTGATTTGTACCAAATGACTTTGCCCCCAGTTCATCCAAATCTCGCATATTCTCGCATGAATTTTAATTAAACGCTTGGCCCACTCAGAATTCTAGGTCGCGAACAAGCTTTCCCTGAACTAGAGTATTGTCCATATAATTAATATTTCCAAGGGACATAATTCTTTAAAAATTAATGATGGGCTCTGATTTTCGAACTTGTCAGAGACATTGTTGATAAAACTTTTGATATAAATTTAAAATATATCTGACAAGAATTGTACACACGAGAGCACTATAAATACAATTTTCCATTTAATTAATATTTCCAAGGGGGCATAACTCTTTTTAACAAGCACTCTGTGAGTATTGCATGACAATACATAGTCCCCTACTGGTTAAATTTCTTTGTATTAGAACAAAATTCTAACTTGATCTATACTTGTCATGGTGTAAACTATATAACAAATATCAAGTCAATATCTTCAAGCATTGTGAAAAAAAGTGTTGAAAACTGATTATTTGAGTGAATTTTCTATGTCCAAGCAAGGATTTGTATAGTGTCACTATACAAATCCTTGGTCCAAGGAACATAACTCTGCACAGAATCATCAGACCAGAACAAAATTCAAACTTGAACTGTAACTTGTCATGATATAACTATATACCAATTATCAAATCAATATCTTCAAGAATGACAAAAAAAGTGCAGAAAACAGATTATTTTAGTAAATTTTCTAAGTCAAAGGACCATAACTCTGCACAAAATCATCAGACCGGAACAAAATTCCAACTTGATCTGTAACTTGTCATGATAAAACAATACACCAAATATCAAATCAATATCTTCAAGCATGAAGAAAAAAATGTGGATAGTGTCCACATGTGGACACAGATGATGCCCCAGCTTGCATACCATATAGTTATAAAGGGACATAACTGAAGAACGGTAAAAGTGATGCTACCCAAATTTGAACTTAATCTGAGTTTTGTGGTAATAAGCATTGTGTGTAAGTCTCATAACATTTGGTTGAGGCTAACTTAAGTAGAGAACAGAAACTTAAAATTCAGCAATTTTTCTATTTGTAAACACGCATAACTCTGGAACGGTTGTGTATAAGTTTTATAATATTTGGTTGAGACAAGCTAAAGTTAGAGAACGGAAATGAAAAATTCAGCAATTTTTATGTTTATAAAGGGAAACAACTCAAGAATGGTAAAAGTGTTGCCACCAAATTTCGTACTTAATCTGTATTATGTAGTAATAAGCATTGTGTATAAGTTTCATATCATTTGGTTGAGGCACTAAAGTTAGAAAATGGAAACAAAAAAATTGTACTTGATCTTAGTTTTGTGCTAATGAATATTGTGTATAGGTTTCATAATGTTTGGTTGGGGCAAACTTAAGTTACAGAATGGAAACTAAAAATTTTGCAATCTTTCGAGTTTTAATAATAAAGGGGCATAAATCAATAATGGTTAAAGTGACACTTACCAAATTCAACTTGATGTGTGTTTTATCAGTGGAGGTCAAAATTAAACATTGCATTGTATAAAGCATTGAATGTAGTTGATTCAATTATAATCATGAACAAAGGAAGATAACTCCAAATGTTAATAAAAATTACTTGATATTTAGAAGAAAATAAAAATTTTGCAATTTTTCCATTTATAAAGAGGCATAACTCTAGAACAGTAAAAGTGACGCCACCAAAATTCAAACTTGATCTGTGTTTTGTGGTAATAAGCATTGTGTATGAGTTTAATAACATTTGGTTGAGGCAAACTAAAGTTAGAGAACGGAAATGAAAAATTCAGAAATTTTTCCATTTGTAAAGGAGCATAACTCTAGAACGCTGAAAGTGATGCCACCAAAATTCAAACTTGATCTGTGTTTTGTGGTAATAAGCATTGTGTATAAGTTTCATAATATTTGGTTGAGGCAAACTAAAATAAGAGAATGGAAACGAAAAATTCAGCAATTTTTCCATTTGTAAAGGGGCATAACTCTAGAACGGTAAAAGTGACGCCACCAAAACTCAAACTTGATCTGTGTTTTGTAATAATAAGCATTGTGTATAAGTTTCATAACATTTGGTAGAGGCAAACTAAAGTTAGAGAATGGAAATGATAAATTCAGCAATTTTCCATTTGTAAAGGGGCATAACTCTAGAACGGTAAAAGAAACGCAACCAAAATTCAAACTTGATCTGTGTTTTGTGGTAATAAGCATTGTGTATAAGTTTCATAACATTTGGTTGAGGCAAACTAAAGTTAGAGAACGGAAACCAATTTTGGGACGTATGTACGTACGTACAGACGGACAAGGGTGAAACTTAATGCCCCCTCCGCTACGGCGGGGGCATAAAAGTGTGGAAAACTGATTTGCCGGACTGACAGATGGACAGACAGACAGACAGACAGATGGAGTGCAAACCTAAAGTTCCCTTTGACTTCGTCGGTAGGGGACTAAAAAAATTGATCAGCAATAATTTTAAAAGTTTTCCAAGACATTGCTGATATAAACCTTTGATATAAATTTCATAACAATCTGGCAAGAATTGTACACATGAGATTTACTATAATGCTATATTGAATTTCAGCACTGACTGAATGTGGATATCATTATTGATAAGGACCATACATTTGCACCACTATCAAATACTATTAATGTTTTGTTTTAAATTGTGAGTGGAAAAAAGAAGCTAAATGCATTCTTGACCTACCTTTAAAGAGGTTAAAATTGCTCTTTTTAGCCCACTGTTTCTTAGAGTATTCATTATGGCCTTCATTATGATGATTTTAATTTAATCTACATTCAACTGTTTACACATGTATCCATTTACAATTTACTGAAAGGGATTAATAGGAAAAACTGGACAGTCCAAAATCTACCCAAATCTTTGTTGGGTTACTGAAAAATCTGTGAAACTCCAGTATAGAGAACTTAATTTGCAGTTTAAAAACAACACTGACACAAGTATTGAATTTAATGTAGAAGGATTGGTGACTTCTGTTGCTAGCATAATACTTTCAGTATAAATGTGAGTGTATTATTTATATGATATTCTACTCAATCTGTCAAGAACAGAAAATCATAAAAATTCTACAATCACATTTATACTAAAAGAGGTATACTATCAACAGAAGTCACCAATTCATTGTTCTCAATGTTTTTCTTTTCTTTCCAACTGTCTATAATCAAATAGGTCTTCACTAGAACTTTCCACATTTTGTTTCTTTTCTAGTCATTAAATACAATGATATTTTTCTGGTTATCTTATATGGTAAAAAATCCTACCTGGCTCTGTTATTGGTTATTGTTTCACAAACATCAAAGCTTGTGTGTTTTAGTTTTCATTTCTTCAAATTACATATAGTCTGAGACTCTGTCTAATGAAACAGGTGTTTTTCATGTTGGACTTTAAGTTTGGGTTTTGTCAGATGTTTTAAGTAAAGTAAGCTTTCTGTATCCATTAGTTGCAATTTCAGTAAACATTTTGCAATTTTCATTTGAACATATCTAAATGTACAAATAAATTACATGAAGTTAAGTTATATTTATTATATTCATATCAAACTTAGGACCAATCTATTCTGTTTGTAGTGATAAGGTTTTCACATTTTAAAACCTATGATAGACATGAAAACATTGCAGTGTCAAATCAATCTCTCTCTGTGATGCAATATATCTGGTTATGTCCTTAATCCAATATAACTTGAAGACACCAGTGGAATGCAAATTTGACAAATTTTCCACTGCATTCTTGTTTATTTCCATAGATAACATGTCAAGCTAACACATTTTCTACTGCAATCCTGTTCTTCTATTACATATATATATATGCTATATAAATAATGTAAACTAGTCATCAGTGTAGCTTTAGAGTCCATATTGAAATATTTTCTTCCTTGATGTCTTTTCAAAGTCACTATAAGATGGTCTTAATCAAGTATCTGTTACATCAAAACTAAACACCTTATTCCCGGTCTTGCAGTTGACTTTTCTGGCATAGAAGTATTTAAGTTCAGGATTTTCATCACAAGTGGTATTCCATATTTTCTGTAGAAAAGTTAAAAAAAAAAAAAAAAATTCTGAAATAAACTTTGTAATAGATATATGTGTAGTCTCTTTGTGCATTATGTTGGCAATTATTCACTTTTTAAAAAAACATAGAAAATATTTCACACTGTAATAATAAAAAATATACCAGTTTTTAAAAAAGAAATTACTCCTTCCACAGTAACTGTAGGCCAATAGAATATACAAGAAAATAATTTGTGAATGTGTATAAAGAAAAGAAAAAGTCATGTGACCCACACCTTAAACATTGGAGGGACAAGAGTTTGAACACTAATTAAAGAAGGTTTTACATGGTATGACTAAATCATACTAAATTATATTTCTAGCTAAGAGTTTGAATCTGATGTAGAATGATTTCAGATTAGCAATTTTTTGTATAAATGACTGTAAGAAACTATGTATTTATTATTGATGATGCCAATTTGATCAAAAACAAATGCTTGGCTGATCACAAGGTCGACTAAACGACACTCTTTTTTAAACAGAAAGATTGAAAATATAATATCAAACAGAATGATAATAAGTTGTTCAGAAGATTTGCCAACACTTTAAGATTGATATGGCAATTAAATTCAGACATAGTTGTATTCATAGTTGTCCCTTTAGAAATGTTTCATTTTAAGCTATTCAAGGGCCTTTTATAGCTTTCCATGCGGTATGGGTTTTGCTATCATTGAATGGTCTGTAGGTGGGCTGTTGAAAGGGAAAATATCTTTCCCTATACAACATACCATCATTTTGCAGTGGCAGGCCAAATTTCCTATCCTTAATCCCAGTCGACCCTTTCCTTGAAGAACATCACTGTTGCATTGTTATTTTGTCCTCTTCCTGAATCTGCATGAAATATTTGCCACTTGATGTAAAGCAAACAACAATTATTCAATCAATCATCAATCAGCTAAGCATTGAAGACTGTATGATAACCTTTAGTTATTTACATACTTATTCTCTGCTCTATGGTGGATAGTTGTCTATGTGGAAATTATACCACATCACCTTATTTAAGTATTAATGAAAGAGTAGGTAAAACTATAAATAATTTCTTTCTTTTTTTTAGCATGAATTCATTTATTTTTTTGAGAATAAAAAGATATAGTCTATAGCAATAACCAAATTTTAAGAAACTACAGTCAATGAATTTCACTGCTTCAGTGTATGGTGGTAACATGCTGGACGAAAGAGAGGAAGGGTGTGTGTTTGATCCAAAACTGCGTCAATTCACACACTTGAATCTTGCTTTTACCATGAGCACATAGCATGTAGGAGAAAAGGCAAAGACTGGTTGGCCCAAGTCAGAATAATGTCTCTGTGTAAGGCGATATGTCTTCCTGCCAACTGTTAGCTTGTGAAAAATCTGGCTTAGTTGTTAGTTAAGGACTTTGCAGGGTTCATATTCTTATTACATTAACATGTTTTTGTTCAGATATGCATGTAGTATTTGCCATGACCAATATGGATAAACATGGAAATGAAGCTACATAGAAGAAACTGGAAATAAAACCAAAATAAACTGTTAACACAGAGATGTCTCGCCTTTTTGTACTTTTGATAATGCAAACTTTGAAATTAAAATAGCAATACTTTAATATGTAAGTTATGCAAATATTCAAAGTCAATGAACCATGACTGAAGGTACAGGGCTAAACAATCTCCATGGAAATGAGATGTGCCAATGCTAATACAACTGCAAACCAAATACCATTGACTTTTCATAAGTCTTTCCCCTAGCTTTAAACAAACCTAAACACAAACATTAACTTGTAAACTATGTAAAAGTTTCAAAGTCAATGAACCATAATTAGGGGATGGGGTTATATAATCTCCATGGAAATGAAACTTGCAAATGCTAATACATTTGCATACCAAATATCATTGACTTAACATTAGTGGTTCATCTTAAACTGACCTAATCACAGCTTATACATTTAAACTAAGCAAAAGTTTCAAAGTCAATAGACCATGACTGAGGGGTAAGGACCAAATATTCTCCATGGAAATGAGATATACCAATGCTTGTACAACTGCATACCAAATATCATTGATCTACCACTAATGGTTCCCCATAAACTGACCTAATCACAAACTAATACATGAAAACGAAGCAAAAGTTTCAAAGTCAATAGACCATGACTGAGGGGGCAGGGCCAAATAATCTCCATGGAAATGAGATATGCCAATGCTTGTACAACTGCATACCAAATATCATTGATCTACCACTAGTGGTTCCCCATAAACTGACCTAATCACAAACTAATACATGTAAACTAAGCAAAGTTTCAAAGTCAATAGACCTTGACTGAGGGGGCGGGGCCAAATAATCTCCATGGTAATGAGATGTGCCAATGCTAATACAACTGCATACCAAATATCATTGACCTACCACTTGTGGTTCACCATGAACTAGACCTAATCACAAACTAATACATTGTTGACGCCGCCGTTGCCGATGCCGGAAACAACATACCTATGTCTCGCTTTTTGACTCCGTCAAGGCGAGACAATAAATGGAGAATGTGTCAATGGGACACAGATGATACACAAGCTTGGCATAACTCAAGAACAGTAAAAGTGATGCAACCAAAATTCGAACTTGATCTGTGTTTTTTTGGTATTAAGCATTGTGTATAAGTTTCATAACATTTGATTGAGGCAAACTAATGAAGTTTGAATGGAAACTAATTTTGGAACGTACAGACAAGGGTAACACTTATCGCTTTCTCCACGACGGCGGGGGCATAAAAAGTCATTCAATAACTGAAGTGTATACATCTGATACAGACAGTCAGCATAAATTGGTACTCAATTATATAGGTAACTGTAAAAATAGGTTGAAATCAACAGCAGTTATTCTAAGTAGTACATGGACAATTATTGTTAGCTATATATAGCTCATGTCTTTTTTGGTGGGTAAATCTGTGTTGTTAGGTAACTGTCTCTACCAACATCATATACACATATTATTATTTTTGTCCTTCAGTTCCATGAATAATCCTAAGCTGCTATACAATAATTAACAGCTTTAGATGGAATGTTATTAAATATAAAATCACACCTCTAATTCTTCTGTCTTTTCTTTTGATATTTTGGAGATGACATCACCAACACACCAAGCCAAACTAATATGGAATGATGGGTTCTGAAAAAGAATAATTAATATTTAAATAAAGTAAATACAGAAATCAAATCAATGTTTTATTAATGCAGGAAAAATGACAGAATGAACATTGCAAAGATTAGAACTATCTTTAATTTTTTTACTAGTAATATTCTGCTACAACATTACTTATGTAATAATTTACCAGTTATACATAAATTGCCTTTATATAAATCTAAAACAAGACTACAAATACGGGCATAGAGAACAAGTTGTGAAATACACGCACCCTAAGAAGGGGCCAAAGGAACGTCATCTTCCAAAAAGGGAAAATTAACAATCTGGAACAAAAAATTGTCTCTGTTGTCGAAAAAATTGTATAGAGGTATCCTTGTGAAACTGAAATATCCAAATCTAGAAAAGGACAATCATTGCTGTCTATATTAGATTGAAAGTAAGTTCCTTTGGGTAACTTTCGGCAGTGAAAATAGATAATTCTTGATTATTAAAAGCAAACATATCATTTTAAAGGTAATGGTAAGCATTTTTAAATTTATCAATTAAATGTAATTCAATGGGATGTTTACTGAGTTTGGCCATAAACTGATTTATAGCAATACAGGAACAAGTCTGCTATCAAAGGGGTATAATTGGTGCCCATAGGATTACAGAAAATATGTGGATTAACTACAACTGTACAATGTAGATGTTGTCAAGGAGAAAATTTATCATCTCATCACAGTTCCAGTAAGTATATCTAAAATATTTCCCTTTTTCTTTACAGAAGAAGGCTTAATATGAGTAGGAGCAAATAAATCTGCAACCATATTTTTCAAAGGGCCATTTCATTAAATTAGATTGTGTAGCAGTGTAGTGTACAGAGCCTTAAAGAATAACAGCTGTCAACCAAATTGAACGGACCTTCAAAAGCATGTAATTTATCCAAAACATCTCACCTGGAAATTTAATATGAAAGCCATCTCTTTGCAGCTTAAATATCCCAACCAGACTTACCTTATAATATGTTTGTAGCTTAAATATCCTTACCAGGCTTACCTTATAATATGTTTGTACCTTAAATATCCTTACCAGACTTACCTTATAAATGTTTGTACCTTAAATATCCTTACCAGGCTTACCTTATAATATGTTTGTAGCTTAAATATCCTTACCAGGCTTACCTTATAAATGTTTGTACCTTAAATATCCTTACCAGACTTACCTTATAAATGTTTGTACCTTAAATATCCTTACCAGGCTTACCTTATAATATGTTTGTACCTTAAATATCCTTACCAGGCTTACCTTATAATATGTTTGTACCTTAAATATCCTTACCAGGCTTACCTTATAATATGTTTGTAGCTTAAATATCCTTACCAGGCTTACCTTATAATATGTTTGTACCTTAAATATCCTTACCAGACTTACCTTATAATATGTTTGTACCTTAAATATCCTTACCAGGCTTACCTTATAATATGTTTGTAGCTTAAATATCCTTACCAGGCTTACCTTATAATATGTTTGTACCTTAAATATCCTTACCAGGCTTACCTTATAATATGTTTGTACCTTAAATATCCTTACCAGGCTTACCTTATAAATGTTTGTACCTTAAATATCCTTACCAGGCTTACCTTATAAATGTTTGTACCTTAAATATCCTTACCAGGCTTACCTTATAATATGTTTGTACCTTAAATATCCTTACCAGGCTTACCTTATAATATGTTTGTACCTTAAATATCCTTACCAGGCTTACCTTATAAATGTTTGTACCTTAAATATCCTTACCAGGCTTACCTTATAAATGTTTGTAGCTTAAATATCCTTACCAGGCTTACCTTATAATATGTTTGTACCTTAAATATCCTTACCAGACTTACCTTATAATATGTTTGTACCTTAAATATCCTTACCAGACTTACCTTATAATATGTTTGTACCTTAAATATCCTTACCAGGCTTACCTTATAATATGTTTGTAGCTTGAACTCTTTGAAACATGTGTCAACCACCTGTACATATCTTGATAATGTCTTTGTTATGGAGGCCACTTCTAATGCAAGAAATGATCTAGCAAAGTGAAAAAAGACAAATTAGTTTAATTAACTCTTTTGTCAGTCATCAAATTACCTTTAAAGATTTACTGACTCCCTCTCCTTTTTCAATTATTTTTTCATAAATGCTATAAATTGATTTACCAGAATTGGAATTGCAGTCTTACTTTAAATATTGTTTTTGTAATATATCATAACCACATTTACTGAATGTCTTTAGAATTACAACCCTGACTATTCTTCATTTTACAATTTCCATCAAATTTTAAGATTTTACTAAAATTATCATATTATCATTTGACAATCTTCAAATACAATATTTCTATTTTTGAAATTATCAATGGCAGATTGAATATTGAAATAAAAAACTTTCTTAAAATGTAGGTACAAAATGTATTCATATTTTTTTATGAACATCAGATAAACACTAGTACCTAGTGTCAATAAATCTCAAATTTGTTCTTTTGAAGAAAAACATTTAATCTAAAATTCTCTTACAATACCTACATTTCAGTTCTCTTTTTGTAATTGTATTTGACATATTTTCATTACAAAGCAGAGCTCAGGTGAACATGCAACTGCCTTACCTTGTTTTTTCATCATTTACATAAAATTTAAGCTTTGTCATTTCACATGGAAAACTGAAACAAATAAACAAAATTTTTTTTTTACATGAATGCATTTATTTTCCTGTTTGAAATTATTAAACATTACATTCACTATGAAATGTATATAACCCCACCAAATTCTTTATGTGCCTGTTCCAAGGCAGGAACTGGGAAGGGGTTGTCATTGGTTACTGTCTGTCATACTTTTCCTGTTTGCTCCTGGAGCCTTTTATATAGCTTACTATAGGTATGAGTTTAGTATATTGTTGAAGACTTAGCAGTGACCTGTGATTCGTCACATCTTTGTCCTTTGAACTTTATTGGATAGTTGTCTCATTGGCAATCATACCACATCACCTTATTTTGATGTAATTTTTTGTACAACCAAATCAATGACATCCTTTCATTCTTTATTGCAAAAAAATTCAATGCTGTAACTGATTGCAACGACCAGACATAGATTTGGATATAAAACATCGATGAATAGAACTGTGGTATCGGACTTGAGACAAGTATAAAGTAATAGATAAAAATGTCTTTGATGTAACTTTCTTATGGATGATCTAATACAAAATACTTTATTATCTTTTCCCTTGCAATCAATCCAACTTCTGTACAAACAACAGGAGAACACATAAATCTTTGCTCTATCTATATAGTATAATACAAATAATTTGTTTGCTTTATTCGTAAAGTATACAAATATCTACTACTGGTACCCTGCATCTATTTTGAGGTATAAATTATAAAATTAAAACAAGAGTGCACACACTGAAATGTCTCGCCTGCTTTACTGATCATGACTGAATTCATGCTGAAAATCTTTAAGACAAATTTAAATTACAAATATTACATTAAATTAACATTATAAATGACCCATATAAATGAAGTCAAGGTCAGATGAACCCTGTAATACAGTATAAGTTTAAACCTTTTAGTATTAGATTAAACCTTTAAACCATTAAATTGGGTCAAGGTCAGATGAACCTGCAAGACAGACATATACACCATAAAATTATTCCATACACCAAATATAGTTGATCTATTGCTTACAATACGTGAGAAACAAATCTTACCATCATTGTGAAAATTTAACATTGACCTAGGCTTTAAACCATGAAAATTAACTCAAGGTCAGATGTAATAAGCCAGATGGGCATGTACACCATACAATCGTTCCATACACTACATTTACATTCGTTTTTTAACCAATTTCTTATAGTATCTGAGAAACAGAAAAACATAAAAACTTAACATTGATCAATGATTAACATGAAATGAGCTGGAAGTCAGGTGGACCCTGTCTGGCCAACATGTAGTTCTGCCAAGAAACTCATGACAAAAATTCATAATAAGTGAGAAATCCACATGACAAAAAAACTACAAATTTTCTAAGCAGTCGCTGAACAAAGAAAATGAGGTCAAGGACAATGGACATATGACAAATGGAAACTTAATAACATAAGGCATCTGTATACAAGGTTTGAAGCATCCAGGTCTTCTTCCCTCTGAAATACAAAATCTTTAAACAAACAGTTTATGCTGCAGTTGCCGCTGGATTATAATCCCCATGTCTTGCAATCTGTAACAGGTGAGAGAATGTTTATGTGTCACACATCATTATGGGTGTTCTCAGTGGTCCTCATGTAAGTTATGTCACTTTCTATATAATTGAAGGTTAACAGTTGAGAATTGAAAAATAACTTGAAATTCAAATGTCAATGTAAATTGCAATATAATAGATTATTTACATTGTTTCAAAATATAAAATTTACTTGTAATCGCAACGTAACAAAAGAAAAGCTCAGTGAGCCAAGCCTTCTACTAGTTTCTAAAGCACATACAAATATATTTTTCCATAGTGTACATATATAGATTGTATAATAATCATTATGGTACAGAATGAAGTTTACAATAATACGACAAAACAAAAGGTACCACCATCAATTAATTTATTTTATTAACCAGTTTAGTGCATTATGTATGCAACCGCTCCTTTACTAATAAAAGAAAACTGGTCCATTACAGACTAACAGGGCATTAATACAGGGCCATTATGAAATAAAATGCTTCGCTGAGCGCAGCTGGATACGACCGCAGAGGACAAACCCTGAACAGTTGGGGTGAAAATGGACACAATATTCACGCTTGATACAGGTCTGAATGTGGATTGTAATTAGATATTTGACACATAATAGGTTTCTGACACCGAATAACTGTAGTCAAAGAACTTAGTATTGGTTTATATTCAATTTTTTGCTTTTGAGCAATACACTATGCTGTTGCGTATTGACCCCCCACCCCCCCCCCCCCCCCCACCCCCCCCCCAAAAAAAAAAATTACCCCCCCCCTTTTTTTTTGCTTTTGTGAAATACACTATGCTGTTGCATATTTTTTTACCCCCCCCCCCCCCCACCCAACATTGTACAATTTTGTTTTTGGATTACCTCCCTTACACTGCTTTTAAATTGTCCATTAACCAGGAAACCCTTGTTTTTCCCCTTTTTTGCCCCTAATTCCTAAACAGTTTGAGCTATAACCCTCCAAAGCCAATCCTAACCATCCCTTTGTGATATGGAAACTTGTGGTATAATTTCAGAGAGATCCATACACCTAAACACAAGTTATTGTCTGGAAGTTACAAGAATGCTTATTTTTGGCCCCTAATTCCTTAACTATTGGTACCATAACCCCCAAAATCATTCCCAACCTTCCTTTTGTGGTATTGAACCTTATGGTAAAATTTCACAGAGATCCATTCATTAAAATAAAGTTATTGTGCGAAAACTAATGTGTCTTCAGACGACGACGCCAACGTCATACCAATATACGATGGTCGTATAAAAACAAGTCCATTAATAATCAGGGCTATTATTGATTTTCAGTTGTTATCAATTCAAACAGAAATTGAAAATTCCCATGAATCATGACTTATCTTATTCCACCCAGTTGTCAAGTTAATAATTACATAATACATTCCATGATGTGTATCAATTTATCAAATTTTGAGTTTTAAAATCCAGAATGATATCTTATATTTTGTATGCCATAAATTGCTTTGAATAGGACAACATTACAATAAAACAATATTTACATTTACATGTTATTCCATCACATCACTTTTAAAGTTTCTTTTTAATATTGCATTTGGTATAAATATATAAATATATACAATTTCTCCACACAAAAAACTGATTTGGCTTGGTTAAATATTACTCGGTTAATAAAATTGTTAAGAAATAGGTGTTTTCAAATTGACCCTGTTATTTGTCCTTGGTGAGTACCGTAATAATGGTCTCGGAGGCTGTAATGTCCCTAGGCATTCCTCCTGCCATTACGGGCATCCTTGACCATTATAACAGACCTTGGACTGTTGGACATATAACAGCTAGGGCCATTATGAAAACACCCATTAATTAATACTATATTCCTATTTATATATATTTGTTTAATTTGATACATTGTACACAAACATGTGACCATATGCAAAGAAATATCAATACATCTGTTAACTTATTTTTGGGTTGAAAAAATACCTATTCAAAGTCTGTAACTTATCAAAATTAAAGAACCTTAGTGAGCGCGCTCACATACCCCACGTCCCCACATTGTCATTGGAGAAATAAAATATGTGTAAGAAAAAAAAATTGTATAAGAAAAAAAAAAATCATAATTTCCTGTCAATATGCACATCTACATAGTATGTCCTTATTATCTAAAAATGTTTCATGAAATTCTGTTGTGTGGTATCAGAGGAGTTGCGATGACAAACTGTTGAAGTAGTACATTGAAGCAAATAAGTTCAAAGGGGCGTAACTCCTAGAAAAAAAATTGAACCGTAATTTCCTGTCGATATGCACATCTACATAGTATGTCCTTATTATCTAAAAAGGTTTCATGAAATTCTGTTGTGTGGTATCAGAGGAGTTGCGATGACAAACTGTTGCAGTAGTACAATAAAGCAAATAAGTTCAAAGGGGTGTAACTCCTAGAAAAAAAATTGAACCATAATTTCCTGTCGATATGCACATCTACATAGTATGTCCTTATTATCTAAAAAGGTTTCATGAAATTCTGTTGTGTGGTATCAGAGGAGTTGCGATGACAAACTGTTGCAGTAGTACATTGAAGCAAATAAGTTCAAAGGGGCGTAACTCCTAGAAAAAAAATTGAACCGTAATTTCCTGTCGATATGCACATCTACATAGTATGTCCTTATTATCTAAAAAGGTTTCATGAAATTCTGTTGTGTGGTATCAGAGGAGTTGCGATGACAAACTGTTGCAGTAGTACAATAAAGCAAATAAGTTCAAAGGGGTGTAACTCCTAGAAAAAAAATTGAACCATAATTTCCTGTCGATATGCACATCTACATAGTATGTCCTTATTATCTAAAAAGGTTTCATGAAATTCTGTTGTGTGGTATCAGAGGAGTTGCGATGACAAACTGTTGCAGTAGTACATTGAAGCAAATAAGTTCAAAGGGGCGTAACTCCTAGAAAAAAAATTGAACTGTAATTTCCTGTCGATATGCACATCTACATAGTATGTCCTTATTATCTAAAAAGGTTTCATGAAATTCTGTTGTGTGGTTTGAGAGGAGTTGCGATGACAAGAAACAGGACTGACGGACTGACGGACAGACGGACGGATGGACGGGTCAAAAACATTATACCCTCCGCAACTCGTTGCGTGGGGTATAAATAGGGTTGATATAAGAACCCTACAAAACAGACCAAAATTCATCTTTTGTTTCGTATTTGAATGTTCCAAAATCAATCAAAGTTTTAAACATGTACATGTATACGTGCACTTGCATAAGGTCTATTTCCGATGCAGCTCATGTATTTACCTAGACAAGGAAGTAATTTTTGACTGTAGAGAGTCTACCAGTGACTGTATCCAATGATGTCTGATAGTGACTGTTCTTGATAGACTCATATGGAATTCATCCATCATGTTAAATTCTAAAGGTCTAAGGCAAAGAAGTAGTTCTTCAACCATATCTGTTAAGTGGTTGTCAGCTTCATCTGTAAAAAAAATAGTCTAATACAATACTGATAAGGTATTAGGTTATTATTTGTGAAAAACTTCAATGAAAAGTGACACATAAACATTTGTCAACAGACAACCAAGTCTTAACCTAAGAGCTTCCATTTACAATGTATCAGACTTATTAAGTTTGAGTCGTTTATCATGCCAAACTTTGTACTAAAAGTGTATGAAAAGGAACCATGTGAGAACTGTGGTGAACTTAACCATAAAACATCCTTCTGTAGATTTAATATGAAAATTAAATGCTTCAAGTGTAATAGGTATGGCCACAAATTAAAATTTTGTACTGCTTGAAAAAATGGCAAAGAAGAAAATGCCAATTTTACATCTGTTTCAAACAAATTTGATGTATTTACTTTAGCAATTATTGTTTGTATATATTATCTAATCAACTTAGAAAACCATGCATTGACAGGGAAACAAATAGACTTTAGTGATAAGATTTTTAATTCTTATGGTTTTAGTAAATCCAAAGGTATAAGGATTTGTTCTCATAAGGTTAATAGGATTGAAAGTAAATTTGAAGAAATTAAACATAACCTTATGTTTTCTGATAACCAACCTGATGTATTGGGATTGTGTGAAACATTTTTAACAAAACACACTACTGATAATGAATTACAAGTACCTGGTTATGTATTTGAAAGAAAGGACAGAACATCACAAGGTGGGGGTGGTCTGATTCTTTATTTTTCTGAAATAATTAAATTTTTAAGAAAAAACAACATCGAAATAGGGGGTATTGAAACAATGACCCTAAAACTTTATGGAAATGTCTTCACAGTCTGAACCCAAAAGTTAAAAAATACACCATATGAGTTAGCCACAGAAGATAACAATACAACTAAAAGTAAAAAATCAATAGCAGAAACTTTTAATAACTTTTTCACTTCCTGTGCTGAAAAATTAAGAGAACAAGGAAGTTATACACCTGTAAACAAAGCAGATTTCAGTAATCTTGATAAATTTGTTAAATAAATAACATAAACATGATAAATTTTCTATACCACCAGTGATCATGAATGAGCTATTTAATGAGTTAACAAAACTTGATATAAACAAAGCATCTGGTATGGATAATATTGGACCAAAAATCCTAAGATTAAGTGCCCCTTTTATTGCATCACCTCTCACATACATATTTAACCGAATGATAGATACTGGCATATATCCTTCTTTACTGAAGAATGCTAAGGTAACACCAGTTTTCAAGGATGGTGACAAGCTTTTAGCAACAAATTACAGACCTATATCTGTTCTTTCAACTTTATCAAAATTAATAGAAAGACATGTTTCTAATAATATGTACAAATACTTGTCTAAACTTAAACTTTTACACCCTACACAATCTGGTTTCAGGTCGCAGCATTCTTGTCAAACTGCACTTATTAATATCATTGACAAATGGTTGCAAGAAATGAATGATGGTAATCTAAACCTAGAAATTTTATTAGATTTTAAAAAAGCTTTTGATTTGGTAGATCATGACATTCTTTGTTTAAAGCTTGAAATTTATGGATTTAGTGAGGCTACTGTTAGTTTTTTCAAGTCATACCTGAATAACAGAAAACAGCAGGTAAACATTTGTAATGTTTATTCTGAACAACAACATGTAAAATTTGGTGTCCCCCAAGGTTCTATACTTGGTCCTCTATTGTTTGTGCTATTTATAAACGACCTTCCCTTATGCATTGAAAATTGTGAAACAGACCTATATGCTGATGACACCACTCTTCATAAATCAGGGAAAAACATAGAAAATATACATGATGATGTTCAAGAAGATTTATACAGGGTTGAAGAGTGGTGCAAAATGAATAACATGTTCATTAATGCAAATAAAACAAAATGTTTGGTTACTGGAACAAAGCAGAGACTATCAATTCAGACTTATCAACCAAACTTGATAATAAATTCAAAAGTATTACAAAATTCTTCTTGTGAAAAATTATTAGGTGTTAAAATTGACAGCACACTTAACTGGAGAAATCAAATTGACCAAGTTTGTGCTAATATATCATCCCGAATATACCTTCTTTCTAAAATAAAGAAATTTTTAGATATAAATGCACGGAAAACATATTACAATGGGTATATTCTGCCCCTAATTGACTACTGCTGTATTATTTGGGGTGAATGTAAAAATGAAGGGATAACAAGGATTTTAAAACTCCAAAAAAGGGCAGCAAGATTAATTCTAGATGCAGATTCTTTATCCCCCTCAGCCCCCTTATTTAAAAAACTTGGGTGGATGACAGTTGACAATAGAATCAAATACCACAAATATTTACTTCTATATAAATGTATGCGTATGGAAGCACCAATGTACCTAGTTCAAAAGTTTAAACTGAAATCAGATAATAATCCTTACTCCTTGAGAGGTGTCACTCAAGGTAATCTGATAGTTCCTAAGCCAAAAGCTGAGCTATTTAAGAAATCTTTTTTTTATTCTGGATCAGTGTTATGGAATGGACTACCACACAAAATGCGTAAAGCTCAAAACACTTATACTTTTAAACAAAGTATCAAGACGTACTTAACACAGTCCTGATAAGATTATGTTTTCTACAATGTATTTGTATATTTTTTGTTTTTTTATTTTTATTTGATTTTTTGACTACATGTACATCTTGAACAGCTTTATATCTTATCATGTTAACAATATTACATTGAACTACTTGACTGTAAATTAACTATGTGTAAATATCTGTTTTTGATTGTATTGTAATTTGTATGTGAGGGCCTCAGGGAAGATTAGTTTATTGTAACTAACTGAGTTTACCCTCTTTAAATAAAGAATTTATTATTATTATTATTATTATATTTACCTACTGCAAATATTGTAAAATAACTTTTCTTCATGTGCTTTTATAGAAATGAAATTACATTCAAATTTTTATTCTGCAGTCATCAGCAGATTAAGTGTGTGGTACAAAATGTAGGATTGCCCCAGCTTTACAGTGATCACTTTGACAAAACAAATTTTGTTTTGTTTTAAAGAAATATTTATTTGAATATGTAAAACCCCTTTAAGATAAATATGATCTTGACTTTGCATTATAACCATATCAAGGAATGGAATATAACCTTTTGCGATTTTTCATATCTCAACTTTCATTCTTTTTTTGAATTAAAGATGAAGTTTTTTTTATTTTCGTGAATTATCTCTCTTTTGTTGTAAAAAACATGAACATATTAAACATATATATACATAGTTATTTCACTTTACCAATCAAGGATAAAAATATTCATTTACAAAAGCCCCAAATCCAACTGAAAGTGAATGAATAAAGAGCTGTGCCATGAGGGCATGATACGCCCATCGCTTTTTCAACCAATAAAGTTCCACAACTCCTCAATGTCATATCAGTAATTAATAAAAAAAAAACTAAAGGGAGCTTATTCTTATAGATATAAACCAGTCACCAAAGTTCATGAAAACTGCTTAAAGCATTTTTGAGTTATTGTCTGAAAATTGAAAAATCCCCCTTTTTTCATAAATAAGTAAAACAAGAGTGCACACTGAAATGTCTCACCTGCTTTACTGACCATTGATTTTATGTTGGTAGTCCTAAATATAAAGTTTTACTACAAGTATCACATAAACTTAAGATGATCAAAGAAAATGAGGTCAAGGTCAGATAAACCAAGCCAGACAGACATGTACACCTTATAATCATTCCATGGATAAAATATAGTTGACCTATTGCATATAGTGTCTAAGAAACAAACTTAACCAGAAAAACAACATTGACCAATGAACCATGAAAATGAGGTCAAGGTCAGATGATACCTGCCAGACAGACATATACACCTTACAATAATTCCACCAAATACAGTTGACCTATTGTTTATAGTTTAAGAAAAACAGACCAAAACACAAAACTTTACATCGAGCAATGAACCATGAAAATGAGGTCAAGGTCAAATAAAACCTGCCAGACTGACACATACATTGTAAAATATTTCCATACACCAAATATAGTTGACCTGTTGCTTACAGTATTATAGTATTTGGCATTAAAATTAGAAAGATCTTATTTAGGGAATATGTGTACTAAGTTTCAAGTTGACTGGACTTCAACTTCATCAAAAACTACCTTGACCAAAAACTTTAACCTGCCCACTCGCACTATCATTTTCTATGTTCAGTGGACCGTGAAATTGGGATCAAACTCTAATTTGGCATTAAAATTAGAAAGATCATATCATAGGGAACATGTGTACTAAGTTTCAAGTTGATTGGACTTCGACTTCATCAAAAATCACCTTGACAAAAAACTTTAACCTGAAGTGGGACAGACGGATGGACGAACAAACAGACCAAAAAACATAATGCCCCTAAAAACAGACAAAAACACAAAAACTTAATTTTAACCACTGAATCATGAAAATGAGGTCGAGGTCAGATGACACCTGCCAGTTGGACATGTACACCTTGCAATCATTCCATACACCAAATATAGTAGACCTATTGCCTACAGTATCTGAGATATGGACTAGACAAAGAAAACTTAACCTTGTTCACTGATCCATGAAATGCGGTCGAGGTCAAGTGAAAACTGTCTGACAGGCATGACGACCTTACAAGGTATACACATACCAGACCTGGGGTAATTAAAAATGTAATTGTTATAAGCTGTAATTAATTACAATTTTGAAAGTAATTCAATGTAATGTGTAACTGAGCATATTTTCAATTACAAGTAATTGAAAGTAATGAATACAATTACATTGCCTATTTGCCATGTAATTATGAATTACTTTTCAATTACTTTGAATTACATTGAAATAATTGCATGGAAATTTTAAACTTTTTTGGCTTTTCTGATGTAACTGGTAAATTTTATTTTTTCCTACATTTAGTATGCACTTAGGTACTTTGAATTTTTTTTATATTTTTTAAACATTTTAAAATCATGATGAAAAAAATATAACACTCCTTGATATTTCATTAATCATCATAGCATGTATAATTATTAATAATCTTCATTTTTATTTAATTCATTCATTTTTTCACGTTTACATTAAAAATGTAAAAATTAAAAACAATGCCAATTTGGTTCATGCAATTTGTAAATATGTTGTTTTAAGTCTAGGTTAGTCTATGAAAAGGTATATACTATGAAATTTAGAGCGAGGGGCTTGCAATTTGATTGGACGAGAAGTTGTAAGTATGAGCTAAATGATACAATGAAATCTTACCCTTGTGGTGATTCATGCTTAGTTACTTAGTACACGGAAAAAGTATGTACTTTGAAAATTGGAAGGCAAATTTAAGCAAATTGATTGGATGAGAAGTTGTAAGTATGTGCTAACAATTAGCAATAATCTTAGCCTCAGGTTATTCCTTTCACTTAACTAATTATTAAGTACAAGTTTGTCCCTTGATTAAAATGCCAAAGGCAATGTTTTTTTAAACCATCATATTTATATGTTAAAATCTGTACAGATAGATATCATTTAAACACTTTCTACAAAAATTTCAAATACAGCAGTCAAAACATACAAGAAGGGAGCCCAATGTACTTGCCAAAAGACAAGTCTGGAAAATGCTACCATTACTCTTCTGTAATTAATACAAGCTTTAAAGTTACTTCAAATTTCACATGAGGTACATAAGAAAACCTTTAAAATCTAGATTAACATGTTTAGTAGAAACGTGAAATTTTAAGAAAAATTTTTTAAGAATAGAAAATATATTAATTTGGATCTATATAACACAAATCTTGTTGGAATGTTTTCACTGTTGAAAAGTGCACATATATATATATGTGTATATCTGCCTATGTGTAGGGACAACTGTAAATTATACCTTTTCCATCGGATTTCTTTTGATTAAGAAATACCAGGCGTTAGAATATTTATAAAGTGCCTAGAAAATCAAGGCATTGATAGGTTGAAAATCAATACATTAGGTTGATTTTCTAGGCACTTTATATATATATATAAAAGTTTCATTATATTCTAGCCTGTTGTCATTTTTATTATTTTATTCTAAATGATATATGTAGCTCTTACATATCTTTGGATAAAAGGAATTGAAATGTAATTAATTACATTGGCAATGTAATTGTAATGTAATTAATTACATTTGAAAATCAATGTAATTGAAATGTAATTAATTACTTTGGCATGTAATTGACCCCACGTCTGACACATACCAAATATAGTTATCCTATTACTCATAATAAGAGAGAAATTAACATTACAAAAAATCTTAACTTTTTTTTTCAAGTAGTCACTGAACCATGAAAATGAGGTCAAGGACAATGGACATATGACAGACAGAAACTTCATCACCTAAGGCATCTATATACAAAGTATGAAGAAGCCAGGTCTTCTAACTTCTGAAATAACAAGCTTTTAAGAAGTTAGTTAACGCCGCAACGGCTGTCTGATCACTATCCCTATGTCTCGCTTTCTGCGACAACAGTCGCAGGCTCGACAATAAAAACCAATAACTCGGAAACGTAAAATCTAAAATTTATAAAAATTGAAAGGGAGCTTACATCAATAAATATAAACAATTCACCAAAGTTTAATGAAAATTGGTTAAAGCATTTTTGAGTTATTGTCCCAAAACTAGAAAATCCCCCCTTCTTTTATGAATAAAATTTAATAACTTGGAAACGTAAAATCTAAATTTATATAAATCGAAAGAGAGCTTACGTCAATAAATATAAACAATTCACCAAAGTTTCATGAAAATTGGTTAAAGCATTTTTGAGTTATTGTCCCAAAACCAGAAAATCCACCCTTCTTTTATGAATAAAATTTAATAACTCGGAAACGTAAAATCTAAAATTTATATAAATTGAAAGGGAGCTTACATCAATAAATATAAACAATTCACCAAAGTTTCATGAAAATTGTTTGAAGCATTTTTGAGTTATTGTTCCAAAACTAGAAAATCCCCCCTTCTTTTATGAATAAAATTTAATAACTTGGAAAACGTAAAATCTAAAATTCATATAAATTGAAAGGGAGCTTACGTCAATAGATATAGACAATTCACCAAAGTTTCATGAAAATTGGTTTAAGTGTTTTTGAGTTATTGTCCGACATATGGAAGGACAGACGGACGGACAGATGGACAACGTTATACCATAAAACGTCCCAAAAAAGGGCATATAAAAATGGTTGTCGAATCAACATTGCTAAAAGATACACCAAATTTCTAATGTAAGGGAGAACAAAAACCACTATGACAACAAACATTTATATAAACAATGACTTACAAGGGATAAACACAAGCGTTGCCCAGTTTCCTATTTCATGAGAAAATGTTCGAATTCTTCCTCCATGTTTACTTGAATCATCTTCATGTTGCTCTTCTTTATCAAATAATTTAACAATGGAATCTGGTAATGGAAGCTGTGGCCTGTATATATAAAACATAGAGTAAGGGTATTAAATTTATCTACATTAAGTGTGATTATACAATCATACTGTGAAATATATGTTGAAGAAGGATCCATTAATGAACTGATAATATGTTCATGATGTAAGCATACAGTTCTAACATGGTTGATTTAAGAACCAACCAGAAAATCGCTCCAGACACAGAATCCCATAAGGGATTATACGTTATTGAAGAAGATTCCTAGTTTCATTTGGGAATTTTTTGGTTAGGGTTAGGTTTAGGGTAAGGGTAAGTTTACTTTCACTCTTAAAGGGCATGATGAGTTTGGACACCTGAAATAAAAGAAGGCCAGTTAAAAAGGTAGGTAAAATTTTCAATTAGAAAATATGCAAACATATCTCATGTTGGTTAAAAGCCCAGAAGAGCTTATGCTATGTCTTTGTTTTGTAAACCATGGCGACTCTTAATAAAGCCAGAGACATATAATATATGTCCACCTAATCTAAGACTAATATATAAAGTTAGTGTAATCATGGAAGTAATATTTAAAAGGAATAACAACGACTAATTAGCATGTTTTAACAGCCTGCAGAGCTCTGTACTAAAGTCATATGATTTTATCCAATTATAGTCTCAGCGGCAAGACCCCTTTGGTTACTATCTGTGATACCGCGGTTGTAAAAAGGCATCTGGAATTTCTTATCAGTCACGTGATTTTATCGAGTCCGGTAATTATAAAGCACCTGTGTGAAATCCGAGGTTTATTAATAAGAAGGTGGCGCTGTATCATATAAAACCTCTACCTTCAGAAAGAAGTCGTATGATGTAAAAAACTTGAAAAACGGACGAGAATTGTTCAACCTACAACAGTTTAGCATGGAAAATTGTATTTAATTTAGCATATTTTTGCTTTTTACCGTTTGTTTTAAACTGTTCTAAAAGTATTTTCCGGTTAAAAGCGGATCCCGAGTAAAACAGTTAAATACCGATGAATCGATCAGGTTTCACATGATGTTTAACAAAATAATGTAGACAAATCTAGACATAGATTTTTTTACTGTTGAAATGTGCAAAGTTTATCGAGAAGTATTCTAAATTTATGTATATGTCATTAATGTGATTGATTACATTATTAAAGCTGGACAGCTAAGATAGGGATAATATGTTCGTAAACATATATTTTTTTTAAAAAGTGTTTATTTTGGAATACTTGTATTAATATAACAAGCTACTGCAAAAATTAAAACAAACCGACAAAATGAGCTTGACGCTATCTGTCTTACGGCAAATTCATTTTTACACGAATTAGTTTATGTATCAAGAACTATAGATTAAAGGATAGAACCGTTTAGAATTGTGAATATTTTAATTGACTAATACACGAAAGACTTAGATTATTCGTATTTAATAAAAGGGGGTCCAAACGTATTGTTTGTACAATCATCTTCTTAACTTACGGAAATGGCTTTTTAACTGTCTGTAAATATTAAAATTGAAAATAACCCAGCCTTCTTCTCCAATTCCATATGTGATAGCTGTCGGTACTGTTAAGATCGAACTAACCAGAAATAGGAAAATTGGACTAAAATAAAAATTGAACGAATGACTATATTCGGAAGTGTACATCAACGGAATGTAACGAATGGACTATTCTGGTTATTTCGCACGTATATATGACAAAAACTTGTCTGTTCGTAGTTTTCCGTGAACACGAAAATGACCGAAAAGTGTCAGTGATTTGATCGATCACATGCGGAGAATCTACTTCCATGCCAGATATTGAATCAATTAACGAGTTATCGAAAGATTGGCGGTAACGCAGATGAAACCTTTGAAGTGACGACCTTGTTATTCCTTTTAAATATTACTTCCATGGTGTAATAGTCCAAGCTCTGATATTATTTATTTTTCTGGTTCTCACCTTTTGGGAGCGGGATTCTTATCAGTCTTTTCAGATAATTTCATTTTCTTGGGACAAGCAACTTGCTCTGATTCTGAATCAACATCACTTTCACTGTCTGAATATTCTACTAATAGTGACATTCTAAAATGTTGGCAAGACGTGAGTGAGATTGAATGGGGATACGTCAGGACGGGGACAGAATCGGCTTTATATTATCCCATGAATTGCAGATCTTTTCGTAATGTGAATTTCCTCCATATATTTATGGAACACTCTGGGATAATTATATCTTCTTCTTCCGTTAATTAATGAAGGATAATTTATCCATCCCATTGGTGCTGTGTCATCTGAGTGCAGGAGTGCTTTACATTGTGTATTTCAATTCAATTCAATTCAATTCAATTCAATTCAATATTTATTGGAAAGAGCACATATTGAGGCGTGATCCGAATACCATCTTCGCTAGCCATATAGATGCATGTAACAGCAAGTCATAAGTAAATTCTATAGATACCATAACATTCTAAGTATTATTCTATGAATACCATTACATTCTAAACTCATATTAATACCATACACATATACATCCCGATTCAGTATTCTAAATTTTCATTATTTTACTTAAAACACACAATCACCTATACAAGATATATGTGTATATGCACAAACTACAATAAAGGATTATTATCTGATGAAACAGTATGGTGGTTTCTCAAATCAAGAACTTCTTCAATATACATACAAATAGATTTTAGTTCTTTTTCAGACATAGGATTTAACATTTTGGTAAAATTTTCATCCAAATTATTTGAGTTATATCATTGATTTTATATTTAGATCTTATTTTCTTATATTGAGGACATTCAATCAAGAAATGTATCTAATTTTCAATTTTTCCTGTGCAAAATTTACAAGATCTCTCATTAGAGGGTATTATTGGTCTTGCATACCTACCAGTTTCTATTGCTAATGAGTGTGCACTTATTCTTAATTTAGTGAGTTTTTTCTAAGATATTTCGGAACATTAAAGTTCAAATATTCTTGTTGTTTAAATTTAGTATAAATTTTACTAAAAAATAAAAGTTTACCACAGTTTCCATCTTTTATCTTAGAAAGTTCAAATATAATTTTATTTTTATAGAAATCTTCTAGTTTTTGTTTGAAATTACTATTACAATGCTTGTTTAAGGGTATTCCAATATGTTTTAATAATTCACATAATTTATTAGACCATAAATTTTCTGTATTTGTGAGAGTTTTGTCCACTTCAAAAGCAGCCTTGAGAATTTCATGTGGACCACCAGACTGTTTTACCAATATCACTGAGACGCACATAGTATTTATACATAAGTTGATAACATTTAATGCTAATAGGTAATGTGCCCAATTCGCACCGCACTGCTAGATTGGAAGACTTTCCATGAACCCCAAGTATGTTTTTAAATATTGAGTTTTGTGTTTTTTCTAGGTTTACTTTTGTCTAATGCTTCAAAATTTGGTTTGAATTCTGATATCCATACTTCTGATCCATAAGTTAAAATAGGAATTATCATTGAATTTAAAAGCTGAAGCCAAGTTTTAACAGACAAGTTTTCAATATATGAGAGTTTAGACTTTAATGCAAAATATGCTTTTTTAGCTTTATCTGAGAGGCTTGACACTGCCTGTATAAATTTTCCAGAGCTATGAAAATCAACTCCTAAGTATTTATAACAATCAACGATTTCAATTGCATAAGAACTGTAATAAAAGTACAAATTTTCTTTATTTACTTTATTTTTAGAGAAAATTATAATTTTTGTTTTCTTAAAGTTCACATCCAGTTTCCATTCAGCACTATATTTTTGCAAAGAATCAAGAGAGTTCTGGAGACCAGCTGCAGATTCAGATATCAATAATAAATCATCAGCATACAATAAATGGTTCACTTTTTGATCATGTAAATTAACTGCACTAGTTGAGTTTGTATCTAAGTATTTTCCTATGTCATCAACAAATATATTAAATAAAGTTGGACTTAAACTGTCTCCTTGTTTGACTCCCTGATTAGCAAGAAAAGGCTTAGTAAACATATTTTGATATTTACATGAATATAAGGTATTAGAGTACATGTCATGCAGTATATTATAAAATTTGCCTTGTATTCCTTTATTTTGTAATTTTAAGAATAGAGCTGATCTCCAGACACTGTCAAAAGCCTTTTTAAAATCTACAAAACACACATATAGTTTCTTTTTGCATTTAAACATATATTTGTTTATCATTATTTTTAAAATAAAGACATGATCTACATTTCTGTAATTTTTTCTTAAACCACCTTGATTTGAAGATAATAAATTATTTGTTTCAAGAAAATCACTAAGTCTTTTTTGTAATATGGAGGTAAAGACTTTACCAAGACAGCTTGGTAAGCTTATACCTCTATAGTTCCCACAATCAGATGGGTCACCAGATTTATAAATTGATGTCAATAGAGAAATGTTCCAAATTTTGGGAAATTTTCCTGAATTAAGTATCTTATTAAAAAGTTTTGCAAGAAGTAAAACTAGAGTGTTTGACCCTACCTTTAGAAATTCATTAATTATCAGATCAGGACCTCCAGATTTTCCCTTTTTTAACTTCTTAATGCAGTCTTTAATTTCTTTACATGTAATAGGGACATTAAGGGATGTATTAGTAAAGTTATGGCTTTTGTTCTCTATATTTTGATTTGTATTCTCTTTTACAGTTGCAATAAGTCAATCTTAATGCATTATTATTAGGGGCTTTAGCTAATCTATTTCCAAGGGAACGAACTTCTTTTCTAATATAAGGAGTAAGCAATCATTTGACATCCATACTTTTTAGGTTTTGCCTTTTTTGTATGTCTTTGCATTATTGATTTTTTTAAATTTGCTTTAAAAGAAACTGACTTTTTGCAGCTTCTAAATAGATTTCATTAGTTTTGGTTACCAAGAAGTCAATATCATTAAAATTATTATCGTTAATTAGTTTGTTTAAAGATAGAATGTCTTCTACACTGTTTTCTTCTAATAAAGCACCAATATATTTTTATTTATTAAAGCACAAATTACACCCACAAGAGGGCCAAAGGCATGACAATTACATGTAATAACAACAATATAATGATGACATTAAATGTACATAAAAAATAAAAATAAACCAAAACATTAAACACAACAAATGACCTCAAGTGCCCCCTGTCCTCAGTTCCATAGACTGTTTAATAAAGGAGCCTAAAGATTTCACTTGCTGACTAGTGGTTGGATTTAGTATATATTTCATTTTATTATCAGAAAAATCTTTGTATTGAGTTTTTAAATCATTAAAAAAGACATGTCTTAAATCATCATTTATTTTACATATTAAAATGAAATGTGATTCATCATCCAGAACTTTGCACTTATTACAAAGTCTTTGAGGGCGTGGAATATTTTTATATCTTCCAGTTTCAATAGTGAGGGAATGATCACTTATTCTAAATTTGCATATAAGTTTTCTTGTATCAAGATTAGGGTATGTCAAATAAAATTCTTGTTTATATTCAGCTTTTATATGCTTAAACAGAAGAAGTTTGCTATTTTGGTCGAGAGATGATATTTTATTGTCATATATTTCTTTATATCTTTGCTGAAATTCATTTTTATAGAATTTTTTACTGAAATTCTTAGTCTCCGTTTTTGTTTTTAGTTACATCTTTGGGTTTACTAATATTATTATCGGACCTAATATGATTTACATATGATTACCATGAGTATATACCTTGATCATGAAGTGATTTAGAAAGAGAGTAACACTCTTTAAGTAAATCAGATGAGTTTTCACTCAAAAGTCGGTCTTAAAATAAAAGTGACTGTGTTGCAATGAAACAAAAAAGGGGAAATCTTCCTAATTCAGATCTAGAGGCAATATTACTAGCACATTTCTTAACTCCAAGTGTAAATTTGAAAAACTTATTGTGAATTTTTTCAGGAGGACTCTTATCTATAAAACTGAGTTTATCCAAAGGAGAATTATTTTTTCTGGCTCTAGCAATTGCATTATAGTATGGTTTGTACACATCCATATACCAAATTTCACAATTATATGTAAGAATAGGACGAACCAAAGAATCAAATAAATGAACAGATAAATTTGCAGGTAATTCGTTCAGACCGCTTGTATAGCTTTTGATAGAGTACATAACTTTTAGGGCCTTTTTTGAAAGTGCTTCAGCAGATGACAATAAGTTTCCATTTTGTGAGAGCAAGTTGCCTAAGAACCTAAATTCATTTACTGATTCTAAAACAGTGTGCTTGTAATTAAATTTTGTGTTTTGCGTCTTTTTATGACTATGACCAATAACCATAGTTTTAGTCTTTTTACAATTAACAGTGAGTTGCCATTTATCACAGTAAGAAGAAAATGTATCTAAGCTTTCCTGAAGACCTTCTTTTGATTCTGACATTATTAATAAATCATCTGCAAACATTAAACTTCCAATAACAGAATTTTTGAGAGTTAGCGGTTGACACTCATTTCCTGAGAATAAATTTGGAACATCATTTATATATATGTTAAAAAGGGTAGGGCTTAACGAATCCCCTTGCCTAACTCCTCGGTTTATATCAAAGTAGTCAGTAAAACAATTGTTAATTTTCAGTGCTGACATTGTCTTAGAATACATACATTTAATCATATTTATCATCTTATGGCCAACTCCTGAAGACAAAAGTTTAAAAAATAAAGCTTTACGCCACACAGAATCAAAAGCTTTGCGCAAGTCAATGAAGCATGCATAAATTTTTCTCTTACCAAGATGTATGTCATCGACACCATAATTATCAGGAAATTATCCAATCCAGAGACATACATTAAAAAAAAAGACAAGATAAGAAAACTCAATTTCGATCTGTAATGAATAAAACACAAGCACTAATAATGCACATGTGGGTTCTCATGTTATTTTTTTTTCAACCCCCGGAATCAATTTGGATAGCATATTATACATAAATATCATTTGCTATTGAAATCCTACCTGATAAAAAGATATATATCATAATAAAAAAAAATATATCACCGAACCCTTAAAGGCCGAAATTGTTATTCCCCAACAAAAGTGAACCGAAAAAAGTCACGGAGGTACCGAAATAACGGGGTGGGTTACTCAAAGGTCGAAAAATAAAAATAGGAGGTTATAGAAAGAATG